ACATAGGTTGAACTTGATGGATCTGCATCTTTATTCAACCTTACCTACTATGTATGTACCACAGAAAGAAACGGCCACACTGCACTTGGTTCCACTGTTCCTTTTTCAAGTACACCGAGGAGTATCAATCTCTAACCTCTGAACCAGAGGCTGAGGGGGTGGAAAGAGAGGGAGGGGATCAATAGGGTAGATCCTCCCTCTCTGCTTTCTCTAATCCCCTCCCCCTTCTTTTCCCTTGTTCTCCCCATCCCTCTGCTCCCTCTCTACACTGATTGTATTTGTATCAAAGAATGATGTTGCATATGTTTACATAACTTTTGTTTTGATTACCTATGCCTCATTTTGCTCGTTACTCTACGAGTTATACTTGTAATATACTCACATTTCCATGACTGTCTTTAACCTGTATGAAGAACTTACAAAAAATAAAAAAAGAAGATTGGCAACATGTGAGCAGTTTGTTCACCATACATTTGTCTTCTTATCTTGAAAACCAAAAGAGAAATACAAAAAGCATAACAAGCATGAAACAAAAAGGAGAACACTACAATCAATGTATTCAAAGCATATTATCTTTATCTGATTGGATTTACCGTAACAATAAAATAGAAATAATTTACAGACATAAAACTTCCCGTATCAACAATAAAGTATTCTTAACCCCACCTAGAAAAAAAAAAAACCAGCAAAACCTGAAGGAGGAGTAGAAGTGAAGTGAGTCTAAAAAGAAACAAACAGATATCCAAAAAGTTTGTTTTATTTATTAATAAACCTTGTTGTACAAACCTGAAAAGTAAACAAAACTGGCAATAAACAACATGGAGTCTTTCCGTCACATGGAAAGAGAGCAGAGCAGTGCTAATAAATTAAAGGTCAATCTGTAAGCTGTAGTCTTCAAAGTTTACCGTCAAGAGGGAAAAAGCACACAGCAAGGCCATAAAACTGGACAACCACATTTGAAAAAACACTTGACTCGGTTTTATGTTATTGTTAAATATTCAAAAAACAGTTCAGTCTTCTGCAACGACAACCAACAAAGTGTATTAAAGGATACTCTCCCAATAGTTATCACTGGCGAGTTCAGTGCAATATGGCTAGCTACGGTTTTTTGTTGTTGTTTTTTCTGATTTCGTTCAAATCGAGAAACAAAGAACAATTTAGTGAAAACATTTTCCCTTTTTTGTATTTAGTCCCACACATACAACCAGAAACAAAGGGGGTAAAAAGTTACACCATTGTTTTTCGTTTTAGTTGTTCAGTGATATAAGCAGCACTTATATATATGTTACAAGATTAACCCTGTGAGCATCCAAACCATCGGATGAAGAAACTGAAATGTAAGGCTTTTTCTTCATCTTTTTTTTTTTTTTCACCGCCCCCTGTCCACCCCAATCCCCGAAAGAAGGCTCAAGTATTTCAGACTATTTACAAGCGTATGTACAAAGAAAAAGATTTGTGATTTGAACGTTTTCTCTTAAGTGAGACACAGAGCTAACAAAGAAAAAAAAAAAAGGAGAGAGAAAATGAGTAAAACAGTTTTCACATTCACAAAAAAAGGGGGGGGGGAGGGGAATAAAAGAAGGAGAAAAAAAAAAATCAGATCCTAGTGGCTCTCAAAAGGTGATCACTGAAGTGATTCCATCTCCAGCACAGGAACCAGCGCTGTAATACACAGCAAGAACCCGTGACGGAGAGGAGGGTTGAACATAGAACGAAATACAAATATATATTATATTAATGCTGATTGTGTGATGTGTTGAGACAGCAGTGGAATGAAATGGAATGTTAGAAAGATTGCACAAAAAGAAATGCATTGCTTGAGTTCATTTTCCTCTTCTCCTTTAACAGATGCATAGAAATGTGCTGGTAACAGAGAAACCACTTTCAAATCTCAGCATTTTGCCTCTGGTTTTGTTTGTAGTCCATCATAAGCTGCCAAACTATCCTCCATTTTTTTAAATGGTTTTTGTGTTTTTCGTTACTACATTTTTAAATCCCAGTTGAAAAATAAAAAATATTAACAAAAACAAAAAACTTTGAAAACAAAACTCATCTTGCGCATGACAGAATGAGATTGCCAAGAAAGAGCAGGTTTGTTCAAGTTTCATTTTTCTTTTCTCTAGAAAATGAATGCTCCCTTGACTGGATAAAGAAATACAATGGAAAAAAAAGCACCTCAAACATAATAAAATTGTAAAAACCTTTTTCACACAGTTGTCAAGGAAGGCTTTTGTTTTTTAAATTCAGTCTTAACAGGCTGCAGAGAACAAAAAGCTAAAATCAGAAACACTTTTAGTTAGCCCCCTCAGACTGTCATAAAACAGTGACTAGACTGCAGAGTCGAAAGTCGAACTGCAGTGGCTTTATATATAAAAAACAAAAAAATTATAATAAACACACATAAAATCAACAGTTTAATGCTAAAACAAAGTAACTTCTCTAAAAACCAGAAGAAAAAAAAATCTTCTTAGAGCTAGTGCAAAGACAGCCTGCATTCTACAGCAAGTACTCCAAACTATGGTGTAATAATAAAATAAAAATATATATATATTTATATTTATATGATGCGAGAATCCAGGGTTGGCATCTTCATGATGAATTTGAAGCACTTTTGGACAAACTGACAGATGACAGTCTAGATGATGACACATCAAGTGTGGCTCTCTTCCTTGGTCCTCTTTTTGGTGTAGACTTAGTGAGACAGTTCTCAATGTTGTCGTTGTTGCTGCTGCAGTTGTTGTTGTTGTTGTTGCTGTTGTTACCAGACGCCTTCCCACAAATCTGTTCGACAAGACTAACTATTTGTTCCTGAAAAGGTAAAGCAAGGAAATATGTCCTCTCAGGCTTCTATCACAACAAAAAACAATATGTACACATTATTTCTAATTTTTTTTCTGGGAAAGGTAAAGCAAGGAGGAAATATGCCCCATCAGAGTACACATTATTTCTAACATTCATATAATCAGAGTAAATATACTACAAGCAGCAGTGCAGCCTAGAATGGACCCAAAATCCTGGCATTGTTAATTGTCAGCACATTAGAATACACTGTGATTGCGCCATCTTGTGGTAATGGAATAAAAGTCATGAATATGCAGCCTGTGTGTGATAGCAGACCTCCTGTGCTACATCATTGGCTTAAAAACTCACTCATCTGAAAGAAGAATTCAGATCAAGAAATTAGGAGCTTCTTATCTGCATACTTGAAGCAAGAGGGTCACCATGTCAGAAAACTAGTGTTTTCAAAATAAGAAGTTCGCAATGGCTGCCTCAAGAAACGTGTGATGACAGCAATATACAGATTGCTATACCTGACTTCCTTCTCCTAGATCCTTGCCTGTCATTCTGAACCTCTGACCTATATACTTGACTTTATGACTCCCAACAAGTAAGCACATGAAAATGTTTGACTATATATGCTATATACTTGTACACTGAACAATTGTGGGATTGGTGTATGCGTTCATGCTGCAACCAGTGGGGTGAGGGTCTGCAAGGGACATTGCAGTGGGTAGCAGCATCAATGAAGGCAAAAACAATAGCATGTATTCTGCTCTGTGCAATGCAGAGAGACGGTTCAGTACTATGAACTTATAAACCTCCTCTCTGCATCCTTCCATGTCTGTATATACATTTCATTCTAAAGATTGTATATTAATGCATTGATTTCTGTACTGATTGCAGATCATTATTATCACTCAGCACAAAGGCTGCCTTGACTGCTGGAGGGGTTTGAATAAACCAAAGCCATGGGCCATTCATTGGGAAAAGCTAGACCAGCGCCATTTATTATGTGTGCTAAAGTGACCAGCGACCAGGCAAGGGAAAGTGGCAAAGTGACCAGTGACCAGGCAAGGGAAAGTGGCAAAGTGATCAGCGACCAGGCAAGGGAAAGTGGCAAAGTGATCAGCGACCAGGCAAGGGAAAGTGGCAAAGTGACCAGCGACCAGGCAAGGGAAAGTGGCAAAGTGATCAGCGACCAGACAAGGGAAAGTGGCAAAGTGATCAGCGACCAGACAAGGGAAAGTGGCAAAGTGATCAGCGACCAGACAAGGGAAAGTGGCAAAGTGATCAGCGGCCAGACAAGGGAAAGTGGCAACGAGACCAGCGACCAGGCAAGGGAAAGTGGCAAAGTGACCAGCGACCAGGCAAGGGAAAGTGGCAAAGTGACCAGCGACCAGGCAAGGGAAAGTGGCAAAGTGACCAGCGACCAGGCAAGTCCCTGTCTCCTTATTGGTCTCTCTTGTTGTCACCCTGGCAAAGTGACCAGCGACCAGGCAAGGGAAAGTGGCAAAGTGACCAGGCAAAGGAAAGTGGCAAAGTGATCAGCGACCAGGCAAGGGAAAGTGGCAAAGTGACCAGGGACCAGGCAAGGGAAAGTGGCAAAGTGATCAGCGACCAGACAAGGGAAAGTGGCAAAGTGATCAGCGACCAGACAAGGGAAAGTGGCAAAGTGATCAGCGACCAGACAAGGGAAAGTGGCAAAGTGATCAGCGACCAGACAAGGGAAAGTGGCAAAGGGATCAGCGACCAGGCAAGGGAAAGTGGCAAAGTGACCAGGCAAGGGAAAGTGGCAAAGTGACCAGCGACCAGACAAGGGAAAGTGGCAAAGTGATCAGCGACCAGGCAGGGGCAGGTGGCAAAGTAATGAGTGGCCAGGCAGGGGCAGGTGGCAAAATGATCAGTGAGCTATGGCAAAACATAGCAGCATCGGTCAGTTGTTTCATTGTGTTCCTGCATGCAGACACTAGCTGCAGGTAAGCCCCATGATACTATCCCATGAACCTGGAATACAGAGAAGTACCAGTGTTTAGTAACCTAGAACGACACAGGTTTACAGAAAATAGTCACCTTGTTATTGGTGGCAGCCATTTCAGAAGAAAGACACTCAACCATAGCTCTGAGGATCTTGCTAAATCTTGGCTTACACTGGCATCTGATCTGAATACTATGACATTACCTTCATCACATTTCTTTCCCTTACCTCATCATATCGATACATCAGCTTTAATCCTCGACAGGACTTCTGCTTCTCCACATGACGCAGAGCACACTCCAGGCAGAACACGACATTCTCATTCTCCTGCACAACCTTTAATAAGGAAGAAGACAGAATACTGTATTAGATACAAGAACACAAACATGTCCGACACTGGTACATATATACTGCAGAACCTTAATGCCTGGAGCAGGAAAGAGATCTGTATTATACTCGCCAGTAACTCTAAGGTAGTGGTGGCCACAGTTTGAGTTTGGGATGCTCGAAATCTGCAACTGACTCCTCTGAATGACGCCACAGAAATCACGATAACTTATTTGATCTGGAGCTCATTTCTATTAATACTCAATATAAGATGCTGTAAGCATCTATGAGGGCAATTCAATAAAGCATTTATGAGACTTCTGGAAAACAACCTGCACCTAATTCATGAAAGCCTTGATACAGTTTCAGTACTGACACATGCTACAGATTCAGGTAGTACCCATTATCCTCACTTTATGAGCCTGTTGCTCTGACTACGACATATTCTAAAAGAATTATGTCCAATTTGGCGAATCTCCTGGCTGGCAGCTGAATGAGGCTAGGGATGCATCAGTGGTTGCTAGGAAGCTGTCAGCTGCACAGCCAATGGCCTCCTAGCAACCAATGATATGGCTGAATTGCAATGGGTGAAGCCAGATGGGAAAGGTGAGAGACTAGTTTCCCATTAGGGCTACCTTCCTTGCAACTGACAGCAGTGGGTGGGTTCCAAGGCCTGCTGTCACTTACAAGGGAGGTAGAATTGATGGAGAACAAGTAAAGCAGAGTCCCCTGTCAGACGTCGCCCACCCACAACAAACCTCCTCAGCCACGGTGTCTGTGTGACAGGTGCAGTGGCACAGTAGGAAGTTCAGTAACGCTGAGCATTACTGAGGATGGAGTGTCCGGAATGGACCTCAGTGCCATTCCCACCATGCTCACATGGTGACTGATTTATGTACCCGTTTGCAACAAGTACATCCAGAATTCACAGGAGTATAAGACTCTTTATAAATTCCAGGGCATATATATATTTTGGGAAGACCGAGTCTGTAGACCACAGTAATACCAACGGTTACTGCAGATTGTTATTTCTTCATGTGCACCAAAGATAAAGTACAAAGACATGATATATAATCCTCATACCAACACAGCGTAACACAGGAGGTGTCCTCTAGCAGCTATTAAATAAGATGACAAGACAATGCAAGCTATCCTCCTATCTGACCTATGATAGCCTTCTGTTTCAATCAAGTAAGTGGTTGGAAATGATCATCATGTAAAGAAATTCTTGTTACAGATGGGAACTGTAGATTTACTGCAGTGAAAATTGGATCTCCTTTTACCTCACCTAGCTGGTTAGGTTTGTGTGAATAGAGGAGGATCTCATTTTGGCTTGCACTATATCGTATGCAATGACTAGTCTTGCTTCTGCATGCTGGGGATAAAGACTAGCTTCACTTTGTGATACAAGAGTTTTGGTATTGAGTTCAAAACTAATCCTAGGATGAATGATGCCGTATAGATGCAAAGAAAGAACTTTACACAGTAAATCCACGGTGTTAAAGACAGCAGAGTGCTCAGTTACATTAGACCGAGCAGCATTGTCACAAAACATCTTTGTAGTAAAAGTCTAGACTCTTGGTGATAAAAACCAGTGGGTCAATGGGCCCATATCAGCAAAGTCCTCATCTACTCACCATGGAAAGGTAACAGAGGTGCTGGCATATCTGACATCTTCTCTCTGAAGTCTCTAACTGCAACCATTTCCGATGCTTCTTCTTCCCATCTATTGTTGAGCTGCTGGTGTCGTGACTTCCATATCGTGCAGAACAGTGGAGACCCGCGTCAAGGAGCTCCTTCCTCTGCCTCAACTCTGTATCCCTGACCAAAAAATCAGCAAGTCAGAAACCGCATTGAGCATCACTCAACCTAGACTACAAAACTCTTCTGTTGCTTTGTAATGAAGGCCAAGTGACACCAAAATCATTTTCACCTAAAAAGGAAAGTTATTCATTAGCAGCATAAGAGGCCTATATGCACGCAGTTCATTTTTCTCCACATTTCCTTTGATTCCTAACATACTGCTTTTATATTGTATTTTGAAATGACAGTACAAAAGGATGGGCTGGCTAACTGACATTTCTATTGTACAAGCTGCAGATTATAGTTACGATTATTGTTCATCAAGCGGCACCCCATGGCCACCATGGTGCTATATAGTAGACAAAAAAAACAGCATTACATTGTAAACAGAGGACGCTGTGTCACACAAATGCCAGAACGTTTTGCAAGGGCATGATCATGTTGAGCCTGGTGGTGTCCGCCTTTATTTCATCTGCCCGGAAACTTCGTCTTGACTTTACTGTGACATGTCATAGGCTCACAGAAAGAAGGTAAAATTGGGCCATTCGTATGCTGTATAACAGCACTTGACAAACTTAAAAGCGGGATCTCACTTTTCAAGAAATGGTTGCCATTGTAGCAGATTGGCTGTGATGGAAAGTCCTAAGTCATCCTTTTCTTGGTTTTGTGATATTTAGATGCTGGTTTTACTGGTGTAATATAAATAGATTTATATATACACACACCCCTCTACTACAGTTTCCAAGAAAGTGGTGCTCATCAAAAATAAAGGACACAAAGTTTGGTTTGTTTTAGACTCTGCATGGAGAGCTTAAAGTCCATCTCTAGGCAAACAAAACCAACGCGTGCACTGGGGCTACTCCCGTGCTGCAAGGGTTAGGTGCTGCTAGACCGGTCCCCGAAGTCTCTTCTCCCCTGGTCTCTGGTGCTTTAAGGACCGCTGATGTCATCACGTCTGAGGCTTCATTCACATCTGAGCTGCTCTCCGCGCGTATTCGGCTGTACATATACGCACGGAGCCGCTCTAAACACAAAAAAACAATGCACTTCAATGTGCATCGTTCACACCATTGCGGGGACCGCGCGGCATGAAACTGCACAGCCCCCGAAATAGTGCAAGTGCGATAATCCGGCGGATTCCACTCATTCGCGGCTATTAGCCACAAACGAGCGGCATCCACGCGGATTAAAAAACATTAGCGCTTTCCTCCGGCACAGTCTTCCATGCGGAAAACTGTGCGGGAACTGCAAACGCTATGTGTGAATGCAGCCTGATGCAAGTTCTATAGATCTGCTTTAGATGCAAGGACGCCAAGGACTCTACTAACCAGAGCTGAGGGAAAGAAGAGGACAGCGGTGACCACCAGAAAAATAAATCTGATTTACTCCAGTCCCTAGGCAAAAACAAGCACTTACCCCTTGCAGTGCGGGGGTAGCATCACTGCAGGGGTACTTTTTTGTTTGCCCCGAGAAGGGCTTTAAATGTGATAAAATGTAAATTTTAAAATGTAAGGTTTTCAATAAGCTACGTCTGCTACATACAGGAAAGCCATCTTGAACCGACCAACCAACTGGTTCACCTTAAGAAGGAATGATCAGCCAGCAAAGAAAAGCGGTTCACGAAGTCAGAGTGAAGATAAACAGTAGATCTCTTTTCTATTACCTAAGTTCTCCGAGGAGAGTAGAAATGACGCCCAGAGTTGGACTGTTCTCCTTTTTTGCCTCAGCTGTTGCAATCTGATACAGTAATTTCTCCATAGAGAACGGCTTTGCTATGTGTCGACGTTTCATTTCCTGAAAAGGACACGTTTAAGTGTTCAGCAGGTGGAAAGTTTGCAAGGAAGAAAAAATAAACAACATCAAATGCTGTGCACTAAATCTTCCTGATAAGCCGTTAGCAGTGGTGTACAGGTGTGAGTTACACCATCTAGATGTACCTTACAAGAGGCATTATCTCTGCTATGTAAAAACAGCTTACACACAATATGGTCATCAAGTATTTTCTTCCCCTTATAATGTGAGCTATAAATCTTAAGTCTCAGGTGCCGCAGTCCTAGGGTGCGACACAAATAAGTTACTGAAATACATCCCTTTATTGAAGTGTGTCTGCTGGAAAATAAGTAGTTCTCTGCTGTCCTCTCTGAACAGAGTAAATGGGTACTCATGGATATTAGAATTAGCTGATGACTGGAATCACTCATGCAGCCTGCTCAGATGTACACTGCTGCAGGTGATCCATCAACATGATAAAAGTATGAAGAGATAGAATCTTGCTCACTTTAACCAGTTGACATCCGCGGTGTTAAACCCCCTTCCCATCCAGGCCATTTTTACAGTATTCAGCGCTGCGGTACTTTAACTGACATTTATTCCGTCATGCAGCGCTGTACTGAAATGAATTTTATACCCTTTTTTGGGGACAGATAGAGCTTTCTTTTGGTGGTATTTATTCACCACTGGGGGTTTTATTTTTTTA